CATTGCGTCGTTGAGTTAAACGGAAGGAAATGACCACACGCCGTGTCACATATTAAGGATATTTTATATCATCGATGATGTGCCAGCGCGTTTGATTGGTTGGCGTTGCCAAGTCCCCAACAATCATCCAATAAAAGTTCTACCATTGTCGGTAACTTTTAATGTCGGAGATTCAAAATTGTCCTTAGGCAGGAACACTTTTCGTTTTTTTTTGGTGCTTGAGCAACGCACTCAGCAGGGGGCCTAAAAAGTTTACCGAACAGTGGTTTGTTTGTTAAACTAAATGAGCCATCTTAATTTTTCTAAAATTTCTTATGGTATTCAGTTTTTCAATCCTGATGAATTGGCTCAAGTTTATCAACCGGAATACTTCACTCAACTGACAACAAGATGCAAGTATAGTATTTGCAAGGGTTGAACGATGGCGCTCCGAAAAAAAGAGGAGTTTGACCAGGAAGCTAACGGCGGGTTTCTGTTTGTGACCATCCCTAGGGACCAGATGGACGTATTTCTACCAAACGGAACTAGGGGCATTTAGACATGAGCCCTGAAACCCATGAGAATATATGCATAACAGGGCTCACGTCATGATGCACATACTTCCGTTTGGCAGAAATACATCATAATAATTCACGGAGGAGTTTTCAGTAGGGTTACAGTATCGTCCAATCAAGTAGATCAAAAAATCAGATTCTGACATTTGGACGGAAGACTCTCTGTTCTTCCTAAAAAAGAAGTTTTAAGTAAATTAATTCATGTTTATACCAACAAAGTTGTCTTATCACCCAGCATTTTTTTTTGCCTCGAATATAGCAAACGAGACTTTGAATTTGAATTTTAAAACCACTATGCTTCTGAATTGATTTGCAATTTTTGGCTGTTTTCGTCCCAAAATATTTGTAGAATACTCATCCCTCTATTATCCGGTATCAACTAAAGTACTCAATTTTGAGTTCTCTTTTTTTTGGTCAAAGGTCCCTTCTCCTGCGGTTAGTCCCAAACATAGGAAATCGATAACCTCGACTAGAGATGTTTTTTCCCATATTGAAACATCGGAGCTTTCGTCGTAAGTCCCTTTTCCCTTGGGCAGCCGCATTCATTTCTGAGTAAAAACTTTTTTTTTATTTATTCTTTTTTTTAAAGCAGGAAACACGTGTCTCTGCTTGCTGATGCAAGTACCTTAACTTATTAAAAATAGGAACATTTTTGGGGTTTTCAAAAAATGAGTCTTTTCCTTGAAAAAAAATGGAATGGAAAGGGNAGGTTTCCAATGGAACCACATTCACACAAATTAGAGGTTGTTAAGTTAATTCTAAACAAGTGAGTGGGGTACAGGCCATGACCAATTCTAAGTCTAATTAGATTCGTGATAAGGGAGCGTTTCCAGTCAAGTAAAAGAGGAGTTTGACCAGGAAGCTAACGGCGGGTTTCTGTTTGTGACCATCCCTAGGGACCAAATGGACGTATTTCTACCAAGCGGAACTAGGGGCATTTAGACATGAGCCCTGAAACCCATGAGAATATATGCATAACAGGGCTCACGTCATGATGCACATACTTCCGTTTGGCAGAAATACATCAAAATAATTCACGGAGGAGTTTTCAGTAGGGTTACAGTATCGTCCAATCAAGTAGATCAAAAAATCAGATTCTGACATTTGGACGGAAGACTCTCTGTTCTTCCTAAAAAAGAAGTTTTAAGTAAATTAATTCATGTTTATACCAACAAAGTTGTCTTATCACCCAGCATTTTTTTTTTTTTGCCTCGAATATAGCAAACGAGACTTTGAATTTGAATTTTAAAAACACTATGCTTCTGAATTGATTTGCAATTTTTGGCTGTTTTCGTCCCAAAATATTTGTAGAATACTCATCCCTCTATTATCCGGTATCAACTAAACTACTCAATTTTGAGTTCTCTTTTTTTTGGTCAAAGGTCCCTTCTCCTGCGGTTAGTCCCAAACATAGGAAATCGATAACTTCGACTAGAGATGTTTTTTCCCATATTGAAACATCGGAGCTTTCGTCGTAAGTCCCTTTTCCCTTGGGCAGCCGCATTCATTTCTGAGTAAAAACTTTTTTTTTATTTATTCTTTTTTTTAAAGCAGGAAACACGTGTCTCTGCTTGCTGATGCAAGTACCTTAACTTATTAAAAATAGGAACATTTTTGGGGTTTTCAAAAAATGAGTCTTTTCCTTGAAAAAAAATGGAATGGAAAGGGATGAGACAACTAGGCGCGGAGTGCGGGCAAGTATAAACGAGGAAGCGGAGGCGTGCTGGACCAGTACCAGTCCGGTCGGACGTTGCTGTTGCTACTATCCGCGGTGCAAGTGAGGAAGTGATCGTTGCCCCTGGCGCGACGCGCGCGCGTCCCATCTCCGCAGCCGCGCACACGCGCATTTCAAGAGCACGCGCGCCATGCCCGCCTTTCACTTTTTATTCTCACAATCAGTCTTGACCAGCTCCTGTGTTGTCACATTAATCCCATTCAAAGCCCAAATAAAACGTCATTATAATGAGATGAGGCGAGAAAGAGCGGTAAAAGCAAGAAAAAACTGGCAATACCCCCCCCCCTTCGAAGGTAAAAACAACGAGAAAAAAATTAAAGTATGCCGTTGAAATGGAAAAGAAGATTCTGATGATGGCAAAAAATTAAGGGGTTTTATATCCTAGGAATCTTTCCTCCATACATGTCCAATTGTCGAGCCAAAGTCGCCAGAAATATTCTCACAATCGATATTGGCCAGTTTTTGTGTTGTCAAATTGGTCTCTAATGCAGCTGAAGAGAGTGGTGATAATTAATGCGATATGATGCAAAACAATTGACAAAAATAAAACTAAAAATAGAAGGAAGCAAACTTGAAATCAGTGGAGTATATCACGGCGATTTCAGGGAAACGACGGAGGCAGTGGCGTGGCGTGCTTTGCGATTTATCGATTCATCGGCCATTTAAACCCATGAAAAAAGATCGATGGATAGGGTGTTCGCAACGAACACCTTAACAATCGATTCTTAACCATAGCTTCAAATGGAGAAATATCGATAATTGATGATTGACGCCTCGCCACTGGACGAAAGCAATGCAATTGCGCGGTTTAGCTTCATAGCTTCTCCATAATACATGTCCAGTTGGAGATCTAGATCTCCGCAGAGACCAAAGTGCATGATTCATAGAGTACATAGAGTCGTAATGTAATTGGGAGAGCTGGCGCCACTTTTAAGCATTTTCCATGTCCCGAATTCCGAGACTCCTGTGTGACGCTGGGTCACTTTTTCGATACATAATCGATTGTTTGCGATACACGGGTACCCGGCCATCTGATGACAACAACAACAACAATAACGGAGGTAGGAATTACCACGTATTCCTTACCGCCATTTTGGATCGAAAATGTATCGAAAAAGCGACCCGAACTCGGCGCACACCGGGCTCGGAATTCGTCGAGCAGAACATGGCGCCAGCTCTCCCATTTACATTACGACTCTATGTACTCTATGGCATGATCACACGTGGGTCGTCCGCCGAAAATCAGAGTGATACCATACTTTTTTTAAAATTATTGAAAGTGCTAGAGACATGCTATTGACTTCGTGTCAAAGATCAGATCTCAAGCTATGAATTGAGACCAAAATCATCTCGTTTTCTCAGAAATGTAGGAAATTATGACGATTTTAGTGAATGGTGAGGTGCTGCTGTCTACGAGTTTTTGATTGAAATATAGTCGTGAGTACCACAATTATTTAAAGTTCGACGTTCATTTCCGCCAACTTCCAAATCCTTTTAAAGGTCAGGTCATTTTTTGAAGTATTTTACATTGTTCCGGATGCACTTTTGCACTACTTTCATTCTCACACTTCGCAGTTCTTTTTTGTCGGTCAGCAACATTAAAAGTCTTCATTTACTTTTTGGTTTGAGAAACATGGTAAAAATAATTCACCCTTGATGGAAAGAGTAAGAAAATTGGAGATGGTGTGTTTTTGAATCACCTGTTTCAATCAACTTATCTTAAAAATTTTAATTATCCAGCCAGACGATCCTCTTGTAATTTCGTTTCCCTCAGAATAGCGTAAGTGTTTTTCCTCCGATCCTCCTTAAGCGTAGTCGATGGACTCGCACCAGTCATTTCCTTGCATTTCCTCTTTTCTCGAATCTGTTCATCCTAGAACCTTGAAAGCTCACCCTGGTGATTTGTTGAACTTTGATTATCCGTAATTTATCACAAAATGCGCGCCAGCGTAGTTAACCCCAAGATTACCTCCGGGCTGAGTTCCTGTTATCACATTGCTAATTATAACAGGCATTATTGCTGATTATACAGCCTGCATACTGCTGTGTAGTGCACTTCCAATCGATTGTATCTGAACGCCCTAAGATTTCGTTTCCTGCAAAGAAAAAACTCCCTAAATAATTTTTCACTGACTCATAAGAGTACCTTATCGTGTTATTTTGTGTATCATCAACGGTGTCATCTAAAATTCCGGTTGATTTGAGTAGCGATGAAATATCTCAGAAATTGGCTGCATTCAAGATTCAACATTACAACTAAACAACCAAATAACTTCCTTGTTACTTGTTACTTGGATTGTATAATTCAGGTCAGTTCCTCTTGTCTCCATCTGAGAAGACGAATTAAAACTTTAATAATCAGAAGTATAGGTCTAAAAATTTTCATTTTTTCCCCGCTCACTGAACGGCAAAGTTTAAAAACATTGATTTAGTTCGCGGAACCTTCGTGTGCGTATTTAAAATAATGCAAAAATCAACAAATGTCCTGTGACATGTAGTGCTTTAAAAAAAGGGAAAGAGGTTTATCAATGCCTCTTTTACCGTCAATGCACTTGATTTATTGTTTTATCGGTGAAATTATTTTTAAATTGCTCTATTTGAAATTTATCGAATTTAAACTTCGCTTGGGTTGGATTATCATTAATAACTCTTTGTGGTTAAAAATGTGTATATATTCCTCAAATAAAAGCATTAATTTTCCTCTGTTTCAGGATATTCAAGTGGCAACAAATGTAACGGCACAAAAACATCATGTCTCTCGAGATAAGAGAGGGCAAGTCCTTGGAAATATCAGAGGATTCAGAGGATGTACCGTGTGGTTCACAGGTAAGACCCTTCTCCGAATTTTTTCTTTTTTTTTTCAAACTTAATCGAAGATAAATGGGCGTGCCATTTGGTCGTGCCAGAGGATCAGTGAGATGAAAGAAACTTGAAATCTGTGGTCTAATCCTTTCTCTGAGTGAATCGTGAATTCGCGGATTGAAAATTTTGTTTTATGAGTTCTTTATACTCGATTTAAAAGTGATAGCTCATGTCAAGAAAAACTCAAAATTTAATTTTTTTGTGGATTACACTATCGTTTAGGAACTATTTCTGGCTCATTTTTAAAACTTCACACGTGCCTTCAGTTTTTTTTATGCAGATGAGCGTTTTTATGGATGAACTAGAGAGTAGTTTCGTATTGTAAAATGTAGGCACCATGTATAGACGCATAGCGTGGTAGAGAGAAGGGCAAATAAATGGCTCAGGTCGTACCTCGATAGGATAAACATTCTGAAACTACCTTGATCGTAAAAATTTTCGAGTCGTAGGGAAACTCCCCCCCCTCCCCCCATTCCGATTAGGTATTTTTGTGAGACAATAAAACGATCCGGTATTTCTCAATCGTCAGAATAAGGAGGAAAAGCGTAGAGGGACATCAATCGATAATGGAAGCATTAATAGGCCAGTTACTAAACTGGCGCGACTCAACGCATCAGTATTTGCCAATTACTTTTCCTTATTGAATGTGCGCAGAATTGTTTTTCCGATGTTATCTGGGGAGATAGAAGTTATTTTCAAGTGGTCAGCTCGCAGCTTTGTAGAGCGCCGATAAATTCTCCGAAAACGGCAACACACGCAAATGGTTTCTGTTAATCGATCAAATTGAGAAACGCCTTCATTTGACTGTGTAGGCAAAACGCGCTCTCTTGAGTAAGAATAGTTGTATCACAGTAAAAACTTCACCCGATCGAGTAAGATCGCATTCATAGTCATGCTTATCTGCTCATCTCCATAGCCCCATATAGTTTAAAATAAAATGAGGTTTAAGGAAACATTTGACATGCGGTGATCGGTGATGTTAGGAAAGGAAAGAAAATCCAAATTCGGAATACGAATTCATCCATATAACTTTAGAGACAGATCTAAGAGTTTTCCATGATTTGTCATAGCAAAAAGTACAAAATAGAAATAAGAAAAAAAAATCTGTGTTTTTGACAAACTTTAACGCAGGCACGAATCCATACTATAATATGCAAAACCTGCTGTATATTTTCTTTGGTATCCTCTGTATTTGTTGTAATGGTATACACTGTAATCCATTGCAAGGCTCTATTGGGGATAGAGCCAGATTAGCTTTGGGAAGTTAATCTGTTCAATTTACTTAAGGTTCGTGGAAAGTGTCCTTAAGATTGGGAGGAGAAAAGCTGATCAAGGAACGTCCATGGATGCGGTCCATAGTCGCGATATTGTGATACCACTATTAATGCTCGTAGGAACGCGGTTTGCCTATTCTGTTGGTTGAAGGCGATTTGACCTGCAATTATTGCTCCGCAGGAGAAAACAAAAACAAAACAAACGTCTATGACAAAACGTCATCACTATTACGGTGTTGTAAAATTTTCGATGTTTCCCTGAGAAAGATGCCTATTAGCCTAAAAATCTGGGAAAAGAATTTTATCACTTTAAAATTCTAGAGGGAACGGGTGTGTGATTAAATAAATTCATGGATTAGACCGTGCTTTTATTCGTATCTGTTTTCTTACCAGCATTTGAGCCTTTTGAAATAAAAATTTCAGAAAATCTTGACTCTTACGAGAAGTGATCACAATTTCAATATGAAATTTCAAAATTGTTCCTTTTTTACGCATGCTAGTAAATTTTCGATCGTTAAAGGAAAATTTTTAGTAGCCAGAGAAAATCTTGAATGGTTAAAAAAAATTTTTTTTCGGAGGTGTATACCTTCGTCGATTTTCTCAGGAGAAAATTAGATGATATTGTTGCATGAAATTTTCGAGGAATAAGCTGTAAGGAAAGCAAATAAAAACAAGTTGGTTTTTGCAATCGCTAGCGATAGCAATATTCGTCATGGGAACTTTAGCTTCTGGGATATGAAAATTTTAAGGTACAGTTCGTTTGCAGTATCTTCAGAATTGAAGGGGCTATGTAATTTTGTGTCAACATCTCTTTTTTAACATTTTTAATTTTTTTTTCTTTGCATACAAGAAAGCTGTTATGTACCAATTATTTCTTTTCGTTGGATTATACATGGTTTTCGGAAGTTAACGCATTTAACTTTCAGTTTCGCTTTTTCGGCGTAAAGTATGATATTTTTACTCTACACATATGCCCGAATACGCATCATAAGTGACCTACGTGCCGCCTAAGTTGCCGTTTTTTCATTCAAATAGATGTAACTAAAATGTTCGATGTGCACTATACTACTTTCATGTCATTGCTTGCATTGAAAAAAAAAATACCATCATTAATTTGGGCGAACAGAGAAAATATACATCAATATTTGGGTCAACATCTCCCTGATTATATAACGGATGAATATATTAGTATTTCTGTATCACAAAACTTAGCTTTTGTCTTCAGAGATACACTGATTCTAGTCCAAGTCAATTTGTTTTATTGAAAAGACAAAAAAACAAAAAAAATAAAAAAAAAAAACAACTGAAATGTTAGACATACTATTTTCATGTCTTTCTATTTGTATCAATAGGTACATCTTGCTTAACTTACGAACGTTGAATGCAAATAAACTTTATTGAAAAAAAGAAAATAACGTCATTAAATTGGGGAAACATGTGGCTGATTATATGAAGGAGGTATATTCCAGTATTTTTGTTTAACATATTAACTCACGAGAAAATGTTCGTACATTTATCATCTAGTATTAATTATTTTTTGATGATTGGTCTAAAACATTCAATACAACCATTAAAAATTAACTCCCATCGCCGGGTATCGAACTCCCGATCACCTATTGCCCGCACCTTAACAAAAAAAATGGGGCGCCTCAGTCAACTAGGCTACCACAGATCCGCGGCTGCCAGAAAAAACATAGCATTTAACAGACTCGGACGATGGGCGGGACTTATCACAAGAGTTGTCCTTGAGCGATTCGCGTCTTCGATATGAGAGAAACGAGCTAAGCGCCTTTCTCTGTGAGACATTGTTTGCCTATGCTATCATGTGTCTCGAGGTTCATCCCATCATGCATTCCGATCGCGGCAGTTGAGCTAAGGCAATATTTGCGTATCCATGAATTAAATCAATCAATCGAGCTCTGATTTTGACTTATTTGTCCGTACCGAGTCCTCCAGAGCAATTGTCCACCTTGTACGATGGTTATTATGTCTTTATTTCTATTTGTAAAATTTGAGGTGGGATAATGGCGGCTTCTCAAGAGCAACGAGGTAGGCGATCTTTTGCACCAACGAACAGAAAACTGATGGCGAAAAGTAACCAATCGGAACCTCCCAAAAAAAAGAATTTGCCTAAAAACGGAACTTCGTGGTTCTGCGCAGATTTACCAGTCAGACACGACATCTCTAGGTGGAAATAAACTCGCTGAAAGCGAATTTTAGAAATCAACACAACTTGACGTAGAGACATGATTGGCTGAAAAATACAACGGTTTTTGATACATCGGAAAATCAACCAAAAATCGGAGACTGGGCGAAACGCTCAAGGTCGCAGAGGTATAGGGAATCCCATAGCGAAAGCAACGGAACGATTCTAATATCATGGGGAACTCCGTTCCCATGACAAAAAACCCATCTTTTAAAACTTTCAAACACCCAGTCTTTTTGAAGATCCCTTAGCAAATATCGTAAATTAGGGAATTTTTTTTCCTCTTCTTTTTTATGAGAATCTTAGAGCCAGAGATTATTTCCTCCCAAGCGTTGTGGACGAGCACAGCTGTCGCATTATGTTCGCTAAAAATGATCGATGAACCGTACTTTTAAACGTAAAAACTCCGCAATTTTTAAAGATTTGGTTGAAAAGAATTTTGAAAAATGAATGCATGGCCTCTCAACCAGGATAGGGTCTAGATTCTCTGAATTTTAGTACCGAGATTCGAGTGAAAATGATCAGATGTACTTGGTTAAATGTGGCAAACCTTCTCTTTAAGCAGAACTCAATTCCCCAGAACTCCCAAGAGGTTTCAATTCACAGTGAATTATTTTAGGGCAATTTATCAGCACTCACAGACTGAAGTGCATCAAACACTTAAACGTATCAAAAGAGGTGAGTGTCAAGGTAGCTTTCCGCTGTTATCATCTCCAATAGTGATAAGAAAATAATCCCACATAAAATATTATTATGTAACGATTAAAATGAATTCTGAGTATTAACGACAAGTGCTACACAATATTTAGTCGCACGCACAGTATGATCATGCTTAATTTTGTTATAACCTCAGAACTCCAGGTGTCAAAAATAAATATTTAGCGCATGCGCTTGATATCTACTTGAATCTCAGAACTTTTGGATTTTCAAGGAAGACATTCGAGCGGCATATATTAGAGTTTTGCCAAATTTTTCATTGCGAGATAACAGAGAAAGTAGGTCAACGAGAATGAAAATTATTTTGAGACTTAGGTAGCTCATTTAGCTTTTTTCTTTCTTTTTTTCTTATCTTTCTGAAGAATCTTGAAACAACACGTTGACTCCCAGGAATCTTAAAATTCATGTTGTGATTCCAAAAATATTCATCAAAATTTTCAACCGTGCGAAGTTCCTCGTCTCATTTATTTTATTAAAGAATCAAGAAAATACACATTCTCTTTTTTAAGAACTTATTGTTTGCTACTATCACCCGTCAAAAATGTTTAAGAAATATGAATAGTTAAAGTAATCGTGTCACTGTATTTTTCCTTAAAAATACGATTCAACAGAATTTGAACAACCATTAGCAAGAAAGACGATTTTTCATCAGTATTTCATAGTGAACAATTATTAGTAATATTATACTCACAAACCACCGGTAAATGGATCAAATACCATTGTTCGAATCCAAAGTGTGATCTCGAGGAAGGGCTGTTGGCAATTTT